GCAACCTAATTGTAACTCATCTTTCTTGCAACGCCCCACTAGTCTCCTAAATTTCCTAGGATTTTGTTAGGATTAAAGTTTGAATTGCCAGTCACAGTTTCATATTGATGAATGTCAATCATTGAACGATTCAATTCATTTCTAATGTCTACTGTACATTTATGTCACTCCCTCCCCTCCCCTGTATCTGCAGGCCTACACTCTTTCCTCCCACATTGGTTGGGTCCCATCCACTTGAGGCATGCCTCATCATCCTAGTGCCTCATCATCATGTCATGACATCAAATTTACAAACGTCAGGAGTGGCATTGATTCTATTGATTCTGGATTTCAATTTCATGCACCCTCTGCCTTGCCCTCAGATATTGCCTCGTTCGATTCCTTCCTTTCTATCACTCCAACTTTTCCTAGTCTGTAAGTGCAGACCCAATGGCCATTTGAATGGGGCTAGCCAAGTAATGCACATGTTCAGATGTACACCTGTAGGCCTGCCTACCTGCACTTGTCAGGATTCTAGGTCCATTTGTACATCCCAAACATCATTTTGAAAAATCTTTAATTTGTTTTTCGACTGCCATTTTCACTACTGGAAAAAACCCCTAAAAAACGTTGAAGTTTGCTCAATCTGATTGGTTGGTTAGTAGTAGGCATATCCGCGACTCGTCAGTGCCCTGGCCGTCCTGCATGCGTTAGTAACATCTTGTTTCTACGGCCCAAAGGCAAAATTTGGGGAACACGGTCCAAGTTGGTTCAGAACCTCTAGTGAAGGTGTTTGACAGACGGGACTTGTTTTGCCTCAGAGCCAATGTTCCAACCCCCTTCCTGGCCTAGCAGCACTGACAGGGCTGTGATTGCCTCAGGTCTATCCATATTTGATTACCTCCTGAAGATGCACATTCAGCTGATTCATATTGCCAATTTGCCATGATGCTTCTTATTTGTTATAGCTCTAATGGTAAATTTGATGCTTGTGTGGAGTTAAAAATATGAAGCAAACATTGGATACATACATGTATGGCAGATAAAGAAATAATGAAGAGATGGATGAAGAGATCTAGGGAAAGAGAGAGAGAGGGGATGAGAGAGAAACGGGAGTAGAACTAGAAGGGAGAAATTGAGGGAGAGGGAGAAGAAAGAAAGGGGGGGGGGGGGATAGAGAGGGGGGATGGGTGGGGATATAATTATTATAGAGGGATGAATAGGGAGTGAAAGAGAGAAGAGAGAGTGAGAGATGAATTGTAGATATACAGTGTAGATAGATAGAGAGATGGATAAACAAAGCAGTGAGAGAGAGAGAAAGGAAGAGAGGGAGGAGCGATGCAAGAGAATAGGAGTGAGAGGAAAAGGGATGAGAATGCAATTCAGGTCATTGATACTCAACAAGCACGTACAGGGTAACTGTATCGGGGCAAAATATTGGGAACCTAAGCTGTGAAGTCAGGACCTTTCATTGATCAGGATCTCTAATGTCCGGCTCTGTGGCTGGGTATGGGGTATCAATCAATCTATTCCTCTGATCACAGACCTGTGCATGAATTCTAGCTTCTCATTGGGTTACATTCATTCATTTCGCAGCAGTAAGTAATGCTAGCAATTATATGCAATATGCAATATGTTATTGTTATACGTCATCTTGGAATGCCAGTTGATGTATGATTGCATTATTTTCAAATTATAAGATTTAATCACAATTTTTTATCATGCATTTAATTATAAATTCGATTTCGCAGGCATTGGAAGTTGATTATCATTTAACTGTTACAAAAGAGTTTGGCCTTAGTAATAAAGAAAGATTATTTTTGGTCAACTACTGCACTTCAGACAATAAATATGGAAGATAAAGCTGTTTTACTTCAGCAAAGTCGAGCTACATGTACATATATGCCTTGCAAAAGAAAAAAATGGTCTACTTGAAGCTGACATTTCTGCAGGTGATCGAAGAGTACTTTCCGTGACTAGAAAAGTTGTTTTTCATGAATTCACGTGGGAGAGAGTGCACTTTTAGTTGGATAGGTGGGTGGATTCCCCTGGGATGAACCGCATCATCAGTATTCCAGCATAGATCATCTACATGATTACACATGCACTCATTCAGGCATCCATGTAAAGTGCAGCATTGCATTGGTAAGGTGTAGCACTAGCGATTAGGGGGGGGGGGGGGTGCCATTTTTAACATGCATTCACCAAGGCATACATGTAGATTGGAGCCATACGTGTACATTGTGTGAGTTACCGGTAACTGTAGGCCCTACAGGTGTACGTGGGATGTAGCAAAATGGGGGGGGGGGGGGGGGGGGGGTAGGGATTGTAAAATGGAAATTTAAAGGGGTGGGTTACGATATGTACATGTATACCATAAACATTTTTTTTTGGGGGGGGGGGGGCTGGAGTTCTCAAATTGAAACTAATATTTCACTTTTCAGCAATAAAATAAAACCATGTCTTGCCTGAACTACTACATAGATGTACGTACATGTACAGGTATACTGCAGCATATAGAAATTCAAAATTATATTAGATACACTGTATTAAAATGAAGCATTGCTATGAATGATTACTCGGAACATGCATAATTTGACAGTTTGCGATGCTGATGAACCCATTACAGTACCTATGTAATTTAGACTGAGAAAGAATATTATTCAGTTGGTTGGCATGATTGACAATGTGAAGTAGAGTGTATGGAATTGAAGAGGTGGGTCTATTTACTTGTAGGAGGGTGAAAGTATGCCTGAATGAAGAGACGATGCGTTTATCGATTGCCTTATTGGTGCATGATGGGGAGAAGTGGAGAACTGATTTTAGAGAAGAGAAAATATGAACTGCACATTGTAAGATGCCAAGAGATGTTGGATATGAAAACTTACCTTTAAACTGTTATGAACAAAATACAAAAACATCACCCCTGTTGGTTTTAGGAAGGCATTTCTGTTATCATTTTCATTTCAGGACAAAATTAATTTTGCTGATGTATTGTGTTAGTACAACTTTACTTGGCCTACCGGTCATCATTGGACTGAGCTCTAAAGTAAGGTTTATACATGTACCTGGCTTTTGAGGAGAAGAAAAAGTAGGTAATAGGCTACCGATTTTGTGTGTTGATAATACTCGTCAATGAACCCTACATTGTGTTCACGTTAATAATTGGCAGCCATCTACAGTAGGTCCTGTATCATTTAAATTTATCTCAGAAAGTACAACTTTCTGATTTGAGCACAGGGAAAATGAAAGCCTTGACTGCACATATTCTTGAAAGCTACGAGGCTGGGGCAGATCGAGGGCTCATGGGATTGCCGCAGCTCATAGATAGGTCACATGACCAGCTGTTTGGGTCAAGTACTGCGTAGGGGTTGATTCAAATCTGAAACTTTGATGTGTCATGTCAAAACATCAGTCACATGAATGTCAATTAAGATTACTAGGTTTTTGCTTGAATTTTGTTTTTCCCCCCTTTTGATCACACTTTCAGTTTCTGTCTGTCTCTTTCTCTCTTTCTTTCTTTATATTTTGGTTCCCTCTATACTGCAGGTTAAGGTCTACTTGTAGATGTATATATGTATATCGCATCATTTTGTCTTTCTGTTCTCTTTCTGGTTCTCGCTCCCTCTTTCGCTGTCTCTCTAATTCTCTTTTCTCCCAAGCCATCTCATTCTCGTTTTCAGTCTTCACATTTTACACCATATCTAACTTTATCTTGCTTTACTTACATGTAAATGTAGCCTACCTTCTCCTCTCTCTTTCATGTCTCAATAATTAATTTTACATCTCGCATCTGTAAGCTCTTTCTTCCCCTTTATTTCTACAACTTTTACTAATTTGCACCTTACTCTTAATAGTCACATATGTATATGGCATAAATTTCCCTGCAGCCCTACTCTTTCTTCCCTACTCCCAATTCCTCTCAACCACCATATCATCTCAACCACCATATCATCCCCTCCCCCCCTCTCAACCACCATATCATCCCCCTCCCCCTCTCAATCACTATATCATCCCCTCCCCCTCTCAACCACCATATCCCCCTCCCCCTCTCAACCACCATATCCCCCTCCCCCTGTCTCCATCTCTCTCCATCTCTCTCTCTCACGATCCCTCTCTTTCTCTCTGTTCTTTCTAAACTGTTAATCCCACACCAGACAGTCTGGTGACGCTACTGTTTTTTCTGTGGAAAGCTAATGTTCCGCAAGGTGCAAATTTTCTCACCTCTGCTTGAATTTCTCTCTGCTTAGAAGTAAATGAACCACGGCAGTACAGACCTCTCTCTTGGTCTGCTTTGTACTAAATATACATTCTTATAATAATAATAATAATAGTAATGGTGGTTTCTTATAAAGTGTACATGTCTGCCACGTTGTGACGCTCCTGGGGCTCGAGCATTATTTCCCAGGTCAAAACTGGCCAAATATGTAGCAATCTGGCATATCAGGCACCCTTTTAAATCTGAATGGAGAGTGACAATGGTAGATTAATGTTTTGCCAATGATTGTTATATAGTGCCAGGATGGGATTAAAGCCCTCAGCCTTTGGATAAAGATTATAATCAAGTGAACGAACCACTCTACCATAGCACCTGCACTTTGATGATCATACTGTCAATCCAGACACTTTTTCGCTCATGAAAATTTCTGAGTAGTTCAGATTTGCAAAAGTTTCATGCAGGGGAGTGAACAAATAACAACCGACATGTAACACCACATTTTTCAAGTTGTGAAAATTACTTTTGTTCATGGTTCATGTCTTCAAAGTTTGTAGTTTTGCAGTAACCAAGAGAGAGAGAGAGAGAGAGAGAGAGAGAGAGAGAGAGAGAGAGAGAGAGAGAGAGAGATTTTGTACATGTTATACTTGAAATTAATTGCTCTGAAATGCTTTTTTCAGATTTTATAGAGGCTCTTCTCAAAGTTGCAGAAAGTGGCTGTACCTTATTTCTCATCAAACAATAAATATTTTCAAAATACATTTCATTTCATTTCCCTCATATTCTCTGTCTCCTCTCCCTCCAGATGCAGAGATAATCATTCAAACTGACGGTCACCGCCGTATTCATCAAGACAGACTCGGCACCAGCTACACCGCCCTCTGGAGTCAGAACATACAAAATGGATACCGACGGTGCTCCCGAGAACCCTGATGATAACGGAGGCTTCCCCATTACACCACAGCCCCAGGTGAGTGGGTCCTGGGTTCAAGCCTCCTGTACTTTTGGAGATAATTAGGGAAATACTTTTGTTCGCAAGAGTTCTTCATAAAATCTATGTAATAATGCTATTTTGAAGGGAAAAAAGAGGTACAGTATCAAGGAGCTGTCCAGAGATGAATTTTCCAACTTCTGCATAGTTTTTTTTGACAGGTTAGAGGGTAAATATGAAGGAAAATGTCCAACTCCCATTCTTCTTTCACCACCAGAGGTCTTATTGCAGAGTATTCTTATAAACCTTGTCACTGTTCAATACATCTTGCTCTGAAGCATATTGGGAGAAAAGACACACACATTTTAAAGGTTATATTGATTATCAAGCAAGTCTGCGAGCTTTGAGTTTTGAGTTGTTGTGAGTGCGAATCTGGGGGGCGTTTCACAAAACTTGTCATCAGTGACAAAATGACAGTTTTTGTTATAAGCTACTGGAATCCTTGCTTCTGATTGGTTATCAACAGATTTGTCACTGATTTTTGTCATTTGCCATTGAAAAAATGCTTTGTGAAACGGGTCCAAGTTATAACTTGTACTTCTCCACGCAGAACCAAAGCACAAGAAGTAGCAAGAGCTCCAAGGGCAAGTACCGCGACCGGGACACCGACGAGGACAGCGAGCGTGGTCACAGGGGACGGCGTGGTCGTCGACATCGAAACAGAGAAGACTCTGAGAATGATGGAGGGGAAAACAGGAGACACAGCAAGAGACATTCTCATGTAGAACGATCAGTAACCATAGCAACCCAGGGAGCTACCACTGATGAGGACAGAGATGAGGTTTGTAGCAGGACTTTAATTTTGTATCAAATTTAAAAATAAAGTTGAGTTGGGAAAGAAGCTGTGTGGCAGTGATTGGAAAGGTTGATCACATACCACATGGATATTGTTGTATACTGTGAGGTTTTGGAATCATCAAAATGATGAGAAATTGGCCCAGTCTTACAAGTCACATGCACTGTACACATAAATGCGACTACACAATCATGTTGCATGAAAGTGTTGTCCACAACCGGCGTTGGCTCTTACTGGTCATATTTTGAATATTTTTTTTTATTTCAAAGACTTTATTTTCTGCAATCAAACAAATCAGTTATACAACAAATATGGATAATTATATAAAACATAAGGTATGCAAACAATATACAAAATATAGAAACAAATGTATAATACATGAGTAAGAGTAAATTTATACGTTGGGCCATTGCGTGTATAAAGAAAGAAAGCAGAAGGTCGCCGTTATAAGCAAAAGCTTGAGCAGACGGTCAACCGAGCTAAGATAAAAATGAGTTGTGAAATATTGGCAAAGTAACAAGAAGAGGGGGCCATGATACTCAAATGATAATTAAATGTGAAAATAAACAGTTGGATTCAATATAAATAATTATAGAATGAGCATATGAATCTCATCTTTATGAGGCTACTAATTATACATTAATGACAGAGATAAGAGAGAAACTAAACAAAAACAAGGGTGCGAGTGGTGCGTGTGTGTGCAAGTGCAAGTGTCCTCATGCGCCAAAATGTTGAATCATCAGTATTACTGATTTGAAGAGCCATCCTTTTCAGGGGACATTTATTCATTGATACCCTTCCACACTAACAATAACATAAACAGAATTACACAAATTCATAAACAATTCATCACCTTCCCCAAAACTCAATATTCTCTTTGAATTTCTTCTTTGTAGAGTAGTACCTAAAAAGACCTTTGTTTGGCACACGCGATAGATCCTCTAAAGATATGTATGGACGCTTCATTCCTTCTTCCCTAATTGCCTTGGGATGAATCATTCGATTAAATGTATTTTTAATTAAATGAAAAGGTCAGAATGTCTGTGGCATGAGTTGTTGTATTGTCTAGTAAGTGGAAGCTTTTGGCAAGCTTCAATTTTTCCCGAAGGCAACCATCATAGTACGGTATGCCAACCAGTACATGCATTTATCTACGATGTAGGCCTATAGGCATGAATTGATATTTGTGAAGTGGTCCAAACATAGATGATCATGATATGAGATCATTGTATAGGCCACATGTTGCCCAGTCAATAATACTTTCCTTGGGTGTTAAAATATTTGTGAGTTAACGCCCTTCTGGCTCCAAACAGACGATTCATCTGTTGTAAAAAATGAAAGTAACTCGAAGGGGAAGTCCACCTTGATGTTAAATTGTTTTTTATAGAAGCAGATAAATTAGAGGAACAGGTCAGATTAAAAAAAAAAAAAAAAAAAATAAATAAAAACTATAAAAAGAAAAGGTTAAATGTATATATACCGGTATATATATATCAGATTGAAACAGGGAGTGGAGATTGTGCACACAGTGTGTGCGGGCAAGCACTGAATCCAATGACCGGGGTTATAGTATATTTGTAAAGCGCTTAGAGACATTTGTAATAAGCGCTATATAAAAATTAAATGTTATTATTATTATTAACAGGAGCTCTAGTCAATACAGGCCCTAAAACTTGGCAATCTGAACGGCTCTCTTCAGAAGAAGAAAAAAGTTTATGTGGAGCACTGCTATGTGAGCAAAGTTCAAAAATATACTTGTACATTTATGTAGGGCCCACACCTTACATGCACATGTACATGTCTAGGTAGATGTGAAAACTGGGAGTCTAGTACCAGGTGAGAACCATATCTCATATCTGACCTTGTTTGACCTTTTAATGCCCATCCTGGGATCATTGCAGACTCCCCTTACACTCATTTCTCAGGGTCTCTTCTTCTTCTACACCAGCAGGTGCAAAAGTCTATGAAACTTTATCCTTAAAGGCAACACATAGACAAAATTGGAGAAGTCTTTTATATCCTCTGAATGGAATTGGCGAAGGATTTATGGTTATATCCATGTGGGGTGTTAAACGATTTCTCTCATTTTTATAGAGGAAATGATTCATGAAGAGTCGGTGAAGGAGATTGAAGTTTTAAAACTGTCTTCTTTTCCATCAACAATTGTGCAATATTTTACATAGGAAGATCTTTGCCCTCTCTTTCTATTTCTGTCATTTGCTTTGTCTGATTGTCTCTTTGTCTTTGTCTTCTTTTTGATATCTCTCACTTTCTCTCTCTCTCTCTCTCTTGATACATGATCTCTCTTTCACCTTCCCCTTCCATACTTTCCCTCATCTTTTCCATGTTTTCTGATAACAAGAGTTGGTATTTCTCTCTTCCCTGAGCACATCACATCACATTATCATCGACAAACCTGACACATCATTATCAACAAATTCACCATGGCATGTTCTCCATGTGCGCTTGCATTCCGTCCCTTCCAGCTAGGCCTATTCTCCTTCCTCCCCTCACATCCCACACAAACTACAGGCCTTATTCACATAAGAGAAAACATTGTATAAAGATAATACTTGTGTTAAAAAAAAGAATCAATAGACCTTCAACCATTTAGTTTAATACATTTAATTTCATTTCGTTTATTCCCATTTCTAACAAATTACAAAAAATTCTTGGGATTGCAATGTACATAGTAAAACAATGAAACTTAATTATAATTGGTCTACAGTGTACAACAGGCATATAAATCAGGTTGGTCATTGTCATACATACATGCACACAGTATATTGTTTATACATGCAGGAACAAATGTACAACAAAATACAAGTTTTAATACAGATGTGTCCAGTCGTTAACTGAATGTTGGCTCAGATTACTTGCCATTGAAATGGCTGTCATTAACCATTTGCAAAGGGTGGACATCATGAATGTTTTTGGCTGTACAGTTATCTACGCATTGGGGATTGATTCTGAAACTTTAATGAGTTTTCATTCCAAATAATGCCGAAACCGCTCCTCTTTATGGTACTACATTAAGAAAAGAAAAATTGTATTTAAAATATATTTAACTACCGGTATGCAGTTATTGTAGAAAGACAATCTTTGGACTTCCCTTGTCTAAATGGGGATGGTTTTTGCAGCATCTTCCCTGGCTGGCCTGCAAACATCATCAATCATATATTAGGAGGGAGGGTCCTGGCAGCTTGTATGTTTTCTCAGAGGGCATGAAAAGCGTTTTGTTATGACTAGCTAACCGACCCAAGCAACTCATCATTCTCCTCAGGAAAATAGACAAGGAGATTGCACAAGCTCTAGTCAATATTAAACCTCCTCTACCTTGCAGGGGTACTACACAAGGTGCACTTCTAGTGTGTATTTATGTACCTGTAGGTATGTTGGACCCTATGTGCAGTGTTGTGCACATTATGCGCTTGTAGAAAACAGGAAGAGGATGTTGAGAAATTACTTTAAATTTCTGTTTTTATAAATGCAAAATCTAGTTACTTTCGGGCATCTTTGGGAAGGGTCGATATAGAGAACTTGTGTATTGAAGCACTTGTCTGAAACAATCTTGAACATGAATTTTTATTGCCAACCGATAAATTTAATGCAAGAAGGTTAACAAAATTGCCATTTTCAATGCTTTGCTAGCCGATCTTCGTTATTGATGTTCCATTTGCTTCTGCATTTAATCCAATGTTTTCAGGCTCTTGTCTAAAGATGACTCCCCCTTTCTTTTTTGAAATGGAATAAATGAGATTTCTACAGAGGCAAACTTTGTATTTCATTTTATTTTTTTCCTCCAGACATTTTGTGAAATTAACAAAGCTTTTATTTGTAGCTTTCTGTTTGTGCGTATTCTTTGAATTGTGCACTGGCATTCTTGTAGATTAAACACAAAGGATCATTGCTGTTCCTCAATATCCATACTTGTGCAAACAGGCCCTTGAATTACAACTGGGTTTGATAGGGTGTCACAAGGCATTGTTATCACAGTCCCAGTCCCAAAGCAGAGTAAGGTTCATCCTCCCACATGGGGCTAGCATGGCCCAGGGGTCAGGGGAATGTTACATGGAGCTATTTATTGATCTCGTTGAGGTTCTTATTTATGTGAACGGGATATGTGAGAAGGCAGAGGGGAAGTTTGAAATACCAAGGGACAGATCCTCTACCAGCCTGCACAGGCAGTTTGAGAAATGTATTATCATGGAGTTACTAGCTCCATGGTATTATCCAAATCCAGTTTGTAGGCCTTTTCTGACAGAGTTGGGCCTATACATGTACACATGAACATGTATTTACCCGTAGATACCAATTTGAGAATCTTTTCAGGCTCACCTGTACGGATGTTGTAGCTCCAGACTTTATGTTGTTGTGGGAGGGGGAGGGCGGGGGGGGGGGGGGGGGTGGGGAGGGGGCAGGGGGGGTATTACCTGTGATACCTCCACCTCTGATGATACAGGGTCATTTTCCTTACATATTTTGATGGTCAGTCTAAATTGCCACTCATGAACTATCTCTTTCTCTCTATATTTGCTCTCTCTTCATGCATGTGTTACCTTATTATAGCCTACAATTTTTGTTTTAATGTATATTTTTGTCAATATAATTGGCCGCCACAATCAGGAACTTCTGTTCCCTTTTGTTTTTTTGTTTTTTTTTTACCTGAGAGTGATCTCTCCCTCTCACTCCATTTTATCCTCTATCTCTCTATTCAGTGAGCTACTTTTTCTTGCACTTTTTGTACTTTCCTTCTTGTAACTCTGCTTGCCCCACCCTGCCTTTTCTCTCTCTCTCTCTGCCCTTTCTCCCTCCCCTCCCCCTCTCTCTATTTTATTTTACAGTTCTTTTACCTAGCTACCTTTTCCAATCCCCTTCCTTTTAAGCTCTTTACATATGTATCTCTAGTCTTAACTATCTCTATCAATTGTATGAATAGTAAGTCTATCTCCATCCTCTCACCAACCTACCATCCCCATCTCGTC